CAGTCCCCCAAGACGCTCCAAAAAGCCACAAAGAGGCGTCCCAAGAGGCCCTCCAGGCCCTCCGGAAGCAAAAATCGTCCCATTCCCGGGGGGGAAACGTATATTTTGAGCACATTCGCCTTTTGGGCGTTCACGAGACTCACAACGGCCCAAGAAGCCTTCAAGATCGACCCAAGATAGCCGAAGAGGCCCCCAAGAGGGCTCCAAGACGGCCTAAGAGGGCCCCAAGACGGCCCCCAAAGCCTCCAAAAAGACACAGGAGGGCCCCGGGACGGCCCCAAGAGGAGGCCCAGAGGGGAAACCCGAATGGACATTTCAAGCACTCGACCCCGAAAAAACCTGAGGAGGCGCCAAGAGGCCCCCAAGAGATTCCCACGAGGCCCCCGAGAGGCCCGAAAGAGGCCCCTAGAGGCCTCAGCACGGCTCTCAAGAGGCCAGAAAAAAGCTGCCAGGAGAGCCCAGAGAAGCCCAACAGCACAGCCGCGACGAAATCCTAAGAAACTGAAACCCCAGGATTCCCCAGAATCGCGCGCGCGTTCCACAAACTTCGACTTTCACTCTTGCTGCCGCTCCAAGGGGTCAGCGGTGCGGCGTCAGCCAATGAATAGTCAATGCGGCGGTCGTCTAGGTCATGGATCTTGGCATGGTGCATACGCCCTCCTGGCAGAAGCCAGGAAGGTCTACACGACATCCTGCGGCCCTACGGCTCGAGACTCGGGATTGCCCTGGCCTGGCACGGTGGTGTATAGATGCCGTCTGCGGGACTCAGCCTTGAACGGAAGGGCGGAACAGAAAGTGAAGAAGACGGAGAGGCTGAGAAGTGAAGCAGGAATGAATGTGTTTTGTGCTTCCCCCCAAGAAGTGGTCTGTAAGGGTCACGTCTGGGCCACAGCGCCCCCTGGGTGCGCGGCGGCGCGGCAGACTAGCAACTGCTGCTTGGTAGGGTTTCCGTCATCTTTACGGCGCCCCCTTGCAGGGAGCAGGAAGGGGAGGAGGAGGAGGAGGAGGAGGAGGAGGAGGAGGAGAAGGAGGAGGAGGAGAAGCACCGGGGTTGGCGACGGGAGGCGGCTGGGCCCAAACCCCGAGACGCTAAGCAACGCACGAGCTGGCGACGCAGCGGTGACGGGTGGCGACTGGGCGAGAGCACATCCAATTTCTGGGGAGGCACGCAGGAATCGGCGGCGCGCCGGGGGGGGGGGGAGCGAGAAGGAGGAGGCCCTCTCAGAAGGCGGCGGGGCTTCTCAGAAGCGCTCCAGCCTACTGAGAAGTTGTCGTCTGTCTTCGGGGGAGGCCCAGGAAACCTCTCAGGAGGCCGGGGGGGCCTTCCAAGCCGTTCTGAGAGGGCCACCCCTTCTCACTTCCACCCACGGGCTCGCCGCCGAAAGAACCCCGTGGTCACTGCTTGGAGAACGAAGACGCAACGATCGTTGCGCTCGTGGCGGGCGCGCCGCGCTGCCAGCGATCGGAGCAACATGCGATCGGTGTGGCCAGCCGGGCTCCCGAGCGCCCCGGCGCAGCGAGCGCTCCGTCGGGGTCGCAGTGCCACCAGGCAGCGAGCGGCGCGTCCGCGCCGCTGGCAGTGATGGGGCTGGGGCATCCTCGGGTCCAAGCAAGGTCGGTGAAAGCAGCTGTAGGGTTCTCGGGCCGGGCGAAAGGGGGGGACAGCAAAAGGGGGGTTTGAGAATCAGCTCACGTAGCTGATTTTCCCGGCGCCTCCCGGCGCCAGGAGGCGCGGGGCCGAAACCAGATGCATGCAGCAGATTTCGTACCCCCCCCCTTTCCCTATCCCACCCTTTCGTCTGGCCCGAGGTTATGGTGCGATCTGGCCTTTGTACATCCACACGGGCGAGGGGAAGCACCCCTGGGAGTCAATGAGGAAAAAATGCGGAAGGGGGGTAGCAACGTACTCGCCCGTCCTTCACAACATCAGTCAATCCTACTCGTCACGAGAGCAGGTCGTCACGAGGAAGTACGACAATCTGCGCGGACAAAAAACATAACGTGCATGCGTGAAGGAAGATCGGCCATGCCAATAACTCAACGCCCGACAAGAAGGTACTGAGTGGAATGACCTCAGGTCCCCGAGGAGCCCTCGGCAACAACTGGGGTCTCTGAGGAGCCCCGGCATGTCCTCAGGTCCTGGACTTTTGCAAAGACTGCCCCGATGATTCGGGGACCAAGACCCCACGTCCTGGGCACTCCTGCGCGCTCCCTGGCACGCACCCTGAGATCCTTCAGTTCAGCGATCTGGCCCCTGAGCGTCTCCATGGCGACTGGAGAGGCGAGGATTACTGAACTGATGGATTCCGGCGTCCTTGCACACCGAAACCCATCAGTTCAGAAATCCTCGCCTCGCCAGTTGCCATGGAGACGCTCAGGGGCCAGATCGCTGAGCTGAAACCCGCGTGACGTTTCCAGGAGCCTCGGGAGCGTAGTCGCGGGCCGCAGCCTCCGACATTCTCTCGGGCTGGGCGAAAGGGGGGGATAGCAAAGGGGGGGTTGAGAATCAGCTCGCGTAGCTGACTTTCCCGGCGCCTCCTGGCGCCGGAGGCGCCCGTGTATCGAGGAATGGGCCCCTCGGTGGGGCCGAATTCAACTGCAAGCAGCAGATTTCGTAACTCCCCCTTCCCAATCCCCCCTTTTCGTCCAGCCCGATTCTCCGAGACGGCTCGGAGAGACCGCCCCGTGGCGATGCTCGCGGCCGCCTCGGGTGGCAGTGGAGACCCCGCGGGGCCAGCCCGAGGGGCCAAGACCACTGACAACCGCACGCTGGTTGTGTTTGTTTCGTGCATGCGACGCTCCTTGGAGAGGAGCTAGAAGAAGAAGAATAAGAAGCAACCACACAGACATAGTCTTCTGGCGCTCCGCGCGGATCTCTCGGATTCGCGCTGGACCCCCCCCTCCCTGGCGCGGGGAGCGCGCCAGGGGCTGCGCTCGAGGCGCCGCCGGGGGGCCCAGGCGCGGATCCAAGAAATCCGCGCGGAGCGCCAACAGTGTACACGTCGTTCATTTCTAATCGTGCTCATTTGAAAATGGTGCTCGTCTCTAATTGTTCCTGGCACCCTAGTGGCCAGGAAGAGGCCTGGGATAGAACAATTAGAAATGAAAGGATCTTGGCCCCAAGAAATCATAGAACCCTCGAGGAATTAGAAATGAACCATGTGTAACCTAAGCAAACTATCTTGAAATAAACTATGGCCATCTAAGCTAAACTAACTAAATTCATCTATGCTTGGCGGATTCCTGGGCGCCAGCCTTACAGATTCACAGCACTTTTGCTCCAGACCGACCATGCTGACAATCTGTGTGATTGCGGCCCAGAGCCGCTCGCATCTAGATGCCACAGCCTCGCACGGGTATCCACCGCGAGGCAATCACAACTCCAGTGCAAGTGTAGAAAGGCTCTAACAGTAGGGTGGGACAAAGGAAACCGAGGGAGGGAAGCTTGAGCATTGATGCAACAACGGTCGCAACGGCGCCCTCTCATCCTGACTCGCAGAGAACACCAGGCACGCCAGAGCAATCTATGCTTGGCGGACTCCTGGGCGCCAGCCTTACAGATTCACAGCACTTTTGCTCCAGACCGACCATGCTGACAATCTGTGTGATTGCGGCCCAGAGCCGCTCGCATCTAGATGCCACAGCCTCGCACGGGTATCCACCGCGAGGCAATCACAACTCCGAACTAGAGCGCAAACACTGAAACTTTGCGAAACTCTCACACTGGCCGTCAGGCCACATATCTGTACCCCCAGCTGTCTGGACCTGCCATGCGCGGAGCGCCTCGATCTTCAAGGCACGCCGACTTTTTCTGGAAGAGAGCTCGCCACCAGCGACGCGTGCGACAGAAGCTTGCACCTCGAGGTTAGCACGCGCCAACAGCTGGCCAGGAAACGCGGACAGATTTATAAATAGAGAACAGGGGAGGGAGGGAGGGAGACTTTGAGCAAACAGCCATGGATGGACGGCAGGGCAGCGACAACAAGGGATTCAAAGACGTGTGGAACACTGAACTGTACCCCCAGCTGTCTGGACCTGCCATGCGCGGAGCGCCTCGATCTTCAAGGCACGCCGACTTTTTCTGGAAGAGAGCTCGCCACCAGCGACGCGTGCGACAGAAGCTTGCACCTCGAGGTTAGCACACGCCAAAACGGACCGTGCCAAAAAACACGAAGTCGAATGGCCGCAAGGCCGTCATCATTTACTTATTGAGTGTTACATTGACAATTTGGACGCCATGGCTGAGACCTTACGGCACACGATAGCTTCATCGAATGCGCGGGCCAACTGCTGACACAGGCGGGAAGGATACGCCTCGGCTACGGCGGTCCAGAACCGTCGATCGGGCGCACGCCCCTCCAAACCTTGGTGGGGCAAACCAGTGCGACTGCAGCAGCCTTGAGTGCGCTGGCACAGCTTCACCAAGGAGGTCAAATCAATGTAAGTTCCTAGAAAGCTGGTGCGCTTCCGCCATGGGGTACCCCACTGGCAGAAGTCTGTACTGACGAAAGACCATCGCGTGGATCTGACAAGCGAGGCGACTGGCGGCGCGAGCCAAAGTCGAGAGGTGGACGGGTTTTCCATCGAACACGGCACCTGCATGCGGCGGGCGACGGTTAGAACCGAAACACTGAAGCGCATCATCTGATTCCCAACATCTACAGCGGCTTGTGCCGACGGTATCAAGTTGGGCAAGCCTAAGACACATGTGTCGGAGCGGAGACGGGGAGGACCAGGTTGGATATCTCTGGCGCGCGACCAGCTGCCACACGGCGTTCCCAGATGCACACCTAAAATGAGCCCGGCTTGGATCCAGCCCCGAATCAGACGTTGCCTCGAAACGTCACGGAGATCAAACAAGGGCCCGCGCTTAATGTCCCACGCTAGCACATGAGACCCCTTTCGCGCCATCGCTCGTGCGACGCGCCCAGAGCCTGAAAAGATCTCTAGGAAAACTCTCACAGTTAGCGAGCCTGGCACTGCAGGGCAACGAGCCTCCCTCAGAGAACCTCGCGGAGCACGCTGCGGCGGTCCAGCACGGGGTTCTCGTCGAACTCTGCCGTCTCGCAGGGCCGCGACTCCTCGCCGTCGAGTGGATATAGCACCAGGGCCCATTAGCGGCTGAGACGCGGGTCGCACCATTGCAAGGCGGCCAGCATTTGAACTCCACGCCAGTGGTCGACGCCCTCCAGGTACTGCCCCAACATTCTCCCCGCGAGTCTGCCGTCCAGCTCGGCGGCAGCCTCGGGAGCCAGCGGGATCCCTCTCTGGCCGTCGAGGGAGAGCGTCGGCTGCGTATGCAACCCTTGCTCTGCCAGCCAGTCGTTGACCTCGGCGCCCACCTGCTGGAACCTGGACGTCACTGTCTGCGTCCGCACTGTGCTCAGCTGTGGTACGTCCAGCGTCTCCGCTTCGGCCAGCTTGGCTCCGCCCCGGGCCAGCTTCCGCCACTCCACCACGTCGACCGCAGGCGTAGCCTGCGCCTTGAAGAGCGGCGGCGAGCCAGCCAGGGCGACGCAGAGAGGCCTCCGAAGCGACTGTGCTGACGTCGCCCGGCTCGGCGGCACTGAGCGGATCCGCAGGACCGAGCGGGCCTCCTCCGCCTGGGCCGCCGCCTGGCGACGCTCCAGCCTGGCCGTTTCCAGCACGAGCGTAACCAGCGTGCCGCAGCCCTCGCGAAGGTCCGTCGGCAAAGTTCCACTCACTAGGCAGCCAGCGGGCACTGAGTCGGAGCCCCGTCGCCGCGACATGTGCTGCCACGGAGCGCAGCGCGCCGCTGACGCCGGGGGCCGAGGATCGGCCCTTGCCCAGAGCCAAGACGGACGAGAGGGAGTCGGAGAGCAGGAGGTGGTGACAGTCAAAGGCCTTCGTGGATCTGCAGATGTGCTTTACCCCAAAAGCGATAGCCCTGGCTTCCCCCTCCACGATGTTGTCAGGCGGAGATCCCCACTTGTGCGAGCCCACCACCGCCCAACCTTCCTCACGAACCGCTTCGGGAAGACGTCCAGCGGCCCGCGTGCGGGCCTCGTTGTTAGCCTCCTCATCCCCCACGAACTGCTGGAAGTCCTTGGAGCTCTCTAGAGGCTTTGTCATGATCCCGTCGTCATCGGAGCCTGCAGCCCAAGCCCTGGAGAGCACCTTGTTGTCGCCCAAGAAGCGCCACCGTTCGGAGAAACAGCCCATCGAGCCCACGAGGTCCTTGTCGAGGTCCTTGCAGACCAGTCCGAAGCCCCAAAAGGACGCGTCCGTGCACATCACCTTAGAACTCCATGACACCTGCAGCTTCCTGGAAATCAGACACAGCAAACTCGAGAACGTATTTAGCTCCCAACGGACGGACTCCCAGAGAGGGACCGCGGTACAGTGGCCCAGCCGCCGAATAAAGGCATAGACGGACCTGAAGATCGACAAGTACTCACGGCAAAGAACTGCTACAAAGGTACAATGGCCCAACACTTTCTCAACTTCTTTTGGACTCACCACGGCCTTGCTTGTAAGACAATCGAGCGCCATGCGAAGTCTCCACAGCCTTGATCTCTTTGGTCGAATCTCTCTCTCTCTCGCCCTCGAATCTCCCAACCCAGGATGTCGGCATCATGATCACACATACAGACCTCATGAGTGGGTAACCCTCTGGACGTCAAGGCTGCGTTGACGAGCTTCACTGCGCGGGAAACGGCCTCGGGATCTGTACCCAAGGCGAGAAAATTATCCACATATATGGTCATCGCCAGTGGCTGCACCGGCGGCGCTACACTCTTGTCTGCAATGAACGGGACGTCGAGCAGCGCGGGGATTGAGCTCACGATCCCGCGGTGAATGGTCTGGCACCAATACAGCGCATGCGACCAGCCCATGGGCAGCACCGCCAGGACTGGCCACACACGGCTGCCAGGCGCGAGGGACCTTCCACCTAGGACACTCAGCCCCACATCACCTGCCTTCACCGCTGGCAGCGCGAAGTAATCCCGAAAAGCCTCAGGCAATCCAAAGTGATAGAAGGCGTCGCAGATGTCAACGTGACCGACGTAGAGCTGCTCACCCTCTGGCACGGCTAGCTCTCCAAGTGCAGAGCCTGTCGCCAGCGCGACTGTCGAAGGCCTCTTGAACCAGCAGTTAGCCCGTCGGCAGTCAATCACCATGCGCTGCTTGCCAGACTTCTTACGCACGAAGAAAAGGCCGCACCTCTCGCGTGGCGCGGCAGAGAAAGTCACCATTCCCGCCGCCTGCAAGCGCCGCACCAACCCAGCATAGGCATGTGGCTGAGCTCGGAGGACAGCATCCATGTACGGCTGTCGCGGAGCCTCAGAGAGGTTGGACTCCGCATCCTTGCGTGGAAGGAGCTGCTCGTGTATTGATGCCTCGACATCTAGATCGCCCACGCCTGCAACCAGCTCCCCAAGCGGCACAGGAACGTTGCCGGCCTCGGGCAGCGAGACGAGGGAATCGTCGAAGCTGACGACTGGCGAGTCGATGTCCTCGTACACGCCAGCGCCGCGGAGCTCACGGAGGGCTCCGGCGGGAGTGAGGCCAGGTGGCGGGGGGCCCAGCGCGGCGGCAGCATGACGAACTCGTTCATGTACCAAGCGATGGGGTAGCCGCTCCGCCAGGCCAGGAGCGCCGGGCGCCACCGGCCGACCAGCCAGATCATTGAGGGCCCCCAGGGCGCGATTGGCTTCAGCCACTTGAGCGTCACGCCGCAGTAGCCGGCGCCGCACCGAGCGGTTCACCACGCCCTCTGCAGGAGCCTGGCCGCCCCGAAGTAGCGGGACAGGAAAAAGGTCTCGACGGTCTGGAACTCCGTCGAACTGAATTCGCCCAGGTAAGCATGCAGGAGAGCCCTTGGGCTTGGCGGCCTTGAAGCTCGAGAAGGAGGCGGCCGCTCTCAGGCCTCCTTCCCGCGACGCCGTCATGACTTCCCTCCGCCGCCGTCCCCTTTGGGACCTTTGCGACGGAGCTCTCGTTCTTCTCGGGCCTTCCTGATGTTCTTCATGATGGCGGCGTCCTTCTCGACCTGGCCCTTCACGAACTCGAGGAGCGTAGGGGCCACCATCAGAAGGTCCCCAGCCTTGCTGAAGCCGCTGAACGCCGAGAACTCCTCGGGACTCATCTTGTCCTTGGAGCTAGCCGAGTCGGCCTCGCGCAAACGATCGTGGTAGCTCCACTCGATGGTCTGCGCCCGCCGAAAAATGGCCTCGGCGAAGGCACAGTTGCTGAGGTCCAGCTGATCATAAGTGCCCGCCAGCTCGATGTACTTCATGAGCTGCTCATGCTCTTGCACCCCCCACTGCTCCGACTGGAGCCTCGCCGTCGTCTTGAACATCAAATGGTGATCCGTAGGGGTGTGCCGCCGCCGCAAGAAATCCAAGCACCACCAAGCTGACCCGGGCCCTGCCACGGGGAAGTCACCGAACGGCTCCTCCTCGCAGGCGTCCACGACCTCGCGCCACTCACGGCCTCGGCCCCGCGGCCCACTCTTCACCGTCAGTGTTCGGGCATCTCCTCCTCCCCCGTTCCCGGCGCCAGCGCTCAAGGGGTGGCCCTCGCCACTGCGCAGGCTCATCGCGAAGGAATCCTGGTCGAGCCCCGTCAGGTGCACCACCGCGGCTCGCCCGGGCGCTGCAAGGTACAGCCCCTTGCCGCCGAGAGACTGCGCAGGAGGCCCCAACTCGTCTCCCAGCGCGATGCGGCAAAGCTCGTCGGCCTCGGCTGCTCGCCATACACGACCGCTCGACCGTGGCGTGCTGGTCCCCTCAACCGCAGGCCCAGGGGCGCCGCTGTCGCCGATGCCCTCCGCGGCCGCTGCGGCCGTTCCAGGGTGGCCCCCGTGATCTCCTCCGAGGTCCAGACCGAGAGGAGGTCTCTTGCCCGTCATCCGTCGGCCACCGAAGAAGTTGGCCCCGAGCGCCTCATGCACTGCCACGTCTCGCCCTGCTGCAGTTCGCACCGCCACCGGCGTCTCCAGCTGCACACCGCGCGCCTCCGCATCGGCATGGGCGGCCGAGAAGGCCCGACGATAGAGGCCCTTCATCACCTCCTCCGTCGGCGACTCCTCAAAGCGATACGCCCGCCCAAGCCCACTGGGCAGCCGCAAGTCGCGCGGCATCTCCAGCCACTCGACGGGGCTGTCGTCGGGCGATCCTCCTTCAAGCTCCTCGATGTACATGTCACGGTCGGGGGTGTACACCACCCAGCAGGCTCCTGGAAGCCCGGCGCCAGCCGTCTCACTGGCTGCTGGGTACAGCAGGATCCGCTCGTGCCAGAGGTCGTCCCCTGCGTAGCGCACCACCGCTCTGCGCCCCGGGAGAAGTCGCCACGAGGATCCCCTGGGCACTAGAGCCATCGCGAGGCTCAAGGTGAGCTGACGCGGCGCGGCTGAGGCGTCCGAGTCCAAACCCCGCGAGCAGCGCGAGCAGCACCAGCCCTATCGCGGCTCCCCCGCCGACACAGCCCTCCACCGCCTCGCGCAGCGCCCCCGCGACCGCGTCGGCGACCGCGTCACACACCGGCCCGCCTGCGGCCGTCAACCAGGGAGGGCTGCCTCCCCCGCCGCCCCCGCCAGCAGGAGCCCCGCCGCCCCCGCCTCCCTCCCCGCACGTGCAGAAGCACGCGGGGCAGGGCGGGTAAGGCGGGCAGGGGGGCGCCGCAGGGCAGCTGGGCAGCAGCGCCCAGGACGCGCCAGCGTGGAAGCCCGCGCGAGCAATCTCGCGGATCCCCGAGGCGCTGGCCTCGACGAGAGGTCGCAGGGCTTCCTTCATGCCCTGGAAAAAGACTTTGAGCAAACAGCCATGGATGGACGGCAGGGCAGCGACAACGAGGGATTCAAAGACGTGTGGAACACTGAACTAGTTAAAGTACAGAAAGCTTTATTCCGCAACGCTTGCTTGTAGGCTCTACTAAGCTCTACACATAGCCCTCTGGGATATGGTTCGGCGATGTGGGTAAGAAATCGCCCAGAACTGTCTTTTCCTTCAAGCACCCTATGTGGGCACTTTGTAAAACTGCAAACGCCGCGGCCTTGACATCGGGCCCCTTTGAGCCCGGCAAGGTCGAGATGACAAAACCGAAGGCGAGTTCGTTTACGCCACGGGGTTCCGAAAGCGCAAAAATCGACATCAAGATCGAGAACGTTGCTGGAACGGGCTAGCGCTTGGGCCCCCGGGAGACTCCAAAGCCAAGAGGTTGAAGGATTCTCGATAACTACAGGGACTCTAAGGGATCTGCACAGGGAAAAGAGGCTAAAGCTGAAACGGGCTAGACGATTACCACGGGCAACTTTCAGACAGTCGGCGGGATTCAGGTGAGGGAGTCCGAGGGGGTGCTCAGCGTCTCGAAGCGGCGGGGGTCCATTAGGCCGATTACGAGCCCGTGACATTGACTGACACGGAGTAGCTATCCACACACCTAGGAGCATCCTGCTGCGTACCCAGCCCCTGATCAACTTCTGAATTCTGCCAGACAAAACATCGGCAGCGGCGTCATGAACAATGTCGAGCTCGAAGCAGGCGATACCCTTCAGGACTAACCGAAACGATCGAGAGAGGTCGCCGCTCCCACTGAAGACTTCCAACATGACTTGCTGCCCAGATTCGTTCACAAAACGAGCTAGGTCGCGCAGAGGACGGCGCCAATCATATCGAGGCTTCGCTTCGCGGTGCCTTGAATGTGGTGTGGGGGCATGTTCAACTGTTCTTGAATCCGTCCTCCTTTGGCGTACCGCCTCACGGCCTGGCCTGTGGCCCATCGACCTCTCTTTTTCACCTCGTCTTGGGTGTGAGCCCTCACCAGCAGCTCGTGGCTCGCTCCTCCGTGCCTGAGCTGGTGAAGGGTCAGTGGCAGCAACGGCTGAAGACCGCTGTCCCTGGCTGCGGCGGCGAACTTGGCGTTCCACTCGCTGTGCGACACGGGGAAGAGAGGGCTGTTCCTGGGACGCTCGCGCAGCAGCTTTTGGAAGAGGCCTGGCAACCAAGGAAAGGCGGGGCTGTCTATCAGCAGCGAGTCGTCGTACACCCCCGTCTTGCTGGCCACCCCGGCTTCCCCTGGATGAAGCGTCACGCTCCAGGTCCCGCGCGGGCCTCCATGAAGCACCGACGGCGGTGCCAGGCTGTTGGTGGTCAGGGAGAGCGCTTCCGACGGCCTCAGGTACAGGGCGAAGGCCACGGCCGTGAGCTCCGCAAGCACTCGCTGTCCCGCCTGGATTAGCTGGCGGATGACAAGGCAGCAGGCAGCCCACGGCAGCGGAAGCCTCGACCGAGGTGGAGCCAGCTTTCGCCATCCTCGAGCAGCTCGGGTCGCACGCGGCAGACTGCTGTACTTCAAGCCCAGGTGGCGACCCTCGAAGGCCAGCGACGCAAAGAGCTTCCACGCGTCCGTGCTCTCGCCCCCCTCCAAGAACTGCTCGTGGAAGTAGATCACCAGGGTCTCGTCCAGCTGCTCCTCGGTCACCGTCTCCAGGCGCGAGTGCTCGGCCCAGAGGTAGAAGTCGTGAGCTCTCCTCTGGTAGTCCCGGCGGGTGGCGGCAGACACCGACTCCTGCTCCAGAAACGAGTGGCTCGCTCCGGGCTTCGGAACGATGTCCCGGCTGTAGCCCTGGCGGCGCTGCAGGCGCCTGGCGGCTCGGCGGTCGCTCTCCACGCGAGCTCGAACAGCGAGGCTCGTCGCAGAGGCTGAGGCCGGGCGGCGGCGAGACGAAGCCACGGCCACGCTGGTCCTCGGTCCGCCCCGACCTCTCGGCAAGCCGCCCGCCACCTGAACAAGGGCTGCTGCGCCTGGCATCCCCAGCGGCTGCGCGATCAGCCTCAGCTGTAAGGCCAGGTCGATTACGCGAAGCTGAGTCAGCACTGTTGTGCTCGGAAGGCACCCAGCGCCAGACGACGCCACAGCCACTGCACAAAGCCAACGCTGCGACCTGACGGCATACTCGCTGAAGTGGCGCCGATGAGGACCGACCCTTGAGCAAAGCCAGCAACGGGGCCATAGAGTCATTCAGGATGACATGAGTGTGTCTGAAGTTCCGAGAGCTCCGAAGAAGATGCTTTAGACAGCTGACCAGAGCCCTGCCCTCCAGGATGACCTGGGGCTCCTCGCGCTCCCAAGGCTTCGAGAGGACACGCTTCCAGACACCACCCCAGACCTCCTTCGAGACGCTCCTGAACTTGGCCTCCGGGGGCTTCGGGAAGACCTTGATGGGCTCCTCGAACAACAGGCCGTGCGAGGCCTTCAGGACATGGTGGGGCTCGGCGAACCCCGGGCTCGCCTTGGTCTCCTCGGTCTCATCCTCCCACATGCCGATGTCGAAGGCCCGGGGAGGCATCGACTTCTCGTTGTCTCGCCCAAACCTCCATCGCTCGTTGAAGGACAACAACTCGACGACCTGATCGCGTGCGAAATCCTTCTCAGTGATTCCAACCCCCCACCACGAGGCATCAACACAAGAAACCACCTTTGAGAGAGGCCTGCCCGCGCTTCTAAAGCATAGGACCAACAAGGACTTACACCACCGTAGTTCACGTCGAACGGATCCCCAGAGACGTAAAGACCTATGACCTGCTACGCGGATGAACGAGTACACGGCACTCAGAGCGCTCAGAAGTTCCCGCCTGATGAGGCCCCGAGAGGTGGTAGTGCGATATGACCCTCCGGAGCGTGTCCCCAGTACAGCGGTCTTGCCTCAAGATCTCCTGGATGCCCAGACGTAACCTCCACCGTAGACGAGGATTCAACCCGATGACAGCATCATTCGAACCAAACTCCCAGCCCAAAGTCTGACCACCTACTCCCTCCTCGACCTCGTGCGTAGGCAACCCGACTCGATTCAGTTCGCGGCCCACGGCCCTGGCGATGTCGCCAGCACGCTCCATAGACCGTGACAGTGAGACAAAGTTGTCAACGTACTCAGTGTGTATGAAATCGTTGCTCAAACTCGGGGCTGGCCTGCGATCCACAAGGAGGTTATGTGTACTGATGCCTGGGACAAGGGAGCTGATGTGCTCATTCAAGGTCTGACAGATCCAAAGACTCACGCTCCAACCCATGGGCGGGCAACGAAAGCATGGGACCACCTTTTGCGAGGGAAGCACAGGAGTACCCTCGCCAACGTGAGAGAGATTGAAGTCGCCTGCTCTGACGGGCGGGAGACCGAAGTATTTTTGCAGCCATGGAGGCAACAGGATATTGTAGAAGGCATCGGCGATGTCCACGCCGGCCACGGCGATAGGGTCATCCCCGTCTACGGCGATCTGGCTGACAGCGCCGCCGGAGGCCAACTCAACCTTGTCGGCCTCGGCGAAGCGCAATGACGAGCAGCGGCCATCTAGGATCATCCGTAGATCGCCATTTTTCTTGTGAACGAAAAAGAGCCCGACCGAGCACTCGCAGTCCAGCTGGAAACTCACCAGGTTAGAGTCCACCAGCCGTTGAAGCACTCGCTGATACAACTTAGGGTTACGAAGGTTGGGATCAACGTATAGCCGACGTGGTCCCTCAGTACGGATACGGTCCAACCCCTGTTCTCGGGGTAGCAACAAATCTTGTAAACGGTCAGCGATCTTCCGGCCCACATCCCCAGCCAAGTGCTCTAACGTCTGTGGAGAGGTCGTAGCCGCAGGCAGGGAAATGCGGTCGAAGTTGTCGAAGCCAACCGGGGCGATGGCCACGCCCTCCCCGTGGTGCGCCTGAGACACCCGAAGCTCCGCAAGGGCTCCTGGGCCGTCGAGATCCAGCGGAGGCCCCCCGAAGCGTCGAACCGCATCTTCCAGCTCCCGGTGTACCTCGGCATGGACAATAAGCAGCGGCTCTCCAGCGGCACGACGCGGAAGGTCGTCATGTCCACTACCACCCAGGTACACGTCGTCGAGAGTCACAACTATCTCATTCACCATGTCGAGCCTATGGTGGCGGCGGTGTACCCGCCGAACAGCTGTCCGAGAAAGGGTCTTCGTGCTCTGAAGCTCGATGGAAGAGGAAACAGGATCAGGGCGAAGAGGAATCGGGAAGACATCGCGCTGGCGACCATCCCGGCGAGAAGAATAGCGGCCCCCACGTGCATCACTGACTCCAGGCGGGGAGACTGGAGCCGCCCTCTGTTGCATCTCGGGCGGGGCGAGGGGCATCCCGTCCGAGGTCACTCTCATTGCCCCGAGAGGGCGCGGCGCTCCTCACGCGCTTTGCGCAGCGACTTGAGGATGCCCGCGTCCCTCTCGACCATGGCGGACACGTGGTGTAGGAGGTCAGGACACACCATCATCCTCCCGTCCTCCTTCGATGTCCCGGTGAAGGCGGAGGCCTCGTCTAAGAACGCGAACTTGGCGAAACCACGGCCACGGCCGCGCCCCTTCTTGTTCTTGTCCTCCGAGGCCTGAGGGGCCGCATGTAGTGAGCCCTCCGCCTCCATTGCGTACGCGTACTCGTACAGCTGCGCCTGTCGCATCGCCACCTCGACGCCCACGAGGTCGGGGAGATTCACCTGATCCCAGCAGGCCAAAAAATCGATCATCCTCATGATGCTCTCGTAGTGGGCCACACCGTAATCATCGTTCGTCAAGTGGTACTGACTCTTGAACTGCGTGAAGTGCTCCAGCGGGCCCCCGCGGCGTCTGTCGATGAAGACGAAGCACCACGCTGCCGAACGGGGGCCCTCCAGAGGCCAGCCTGGGAGCGGAGTCTGCTCGAACTTGGCGACAGCGTCTCGGAACTGAATCCGAGGGCGATGGCCGTCTGACTGCAGCGAGATCCCCAGGAGCCTGGCGTCCAGTCCAGCCTCAGCGCCAGCATAGAGTGACAAGCTGAGCGACACCCGTCGGATGTCGATCCAGCCTTTGTCGGTCTTCATGATCCCGACGTCGCCCCCGAGACGCTCCGTCCCATTCAAGGCCACAACCGTCCCGCGGTCTCCCGCGGCCGTCGTCTCCGTCATCACCCACTCCGGAGCAGCAGGAGCCGCGAATGGACCAGGGCCCCCGACCGCCACAGGGGCCGCCGCTGCCTGCCCAGGCGCTCCAGCACCCACGGGCTGAGCAGCGGCTGCACCACCAGCAGCGACCCCAAGACCAGGTCCCCGCGCGGGCCCTACGCCCACCAGGGCGGCCGCGCCTTCAGCGTTGCCTCCAGCAGCGCCACCGTCGGCTCCGACCAGCTGCTGCCCAGCTCCCGCGCCGCGCAGCCCGAAGTCGAAAGCCCGCAGTGCGCCACCAGCAGGCAACACAGCAGCGCGGCCCCCAGCGGTCTCCCGAGCCAGGTACGTCTCGTCGGCCACCTGGATCACCGCCGCCATGACTGCGGTCTCCTCATTCACAGTCAAGCGTCGCCTGAACCCGTACAGCAGCCCTGCATCCAGGCCCCCGCGGTCACGACGAGCGTCCACAAACCGAACGCCCAGGATGTCAGCGCTGTCCCTGCTGGAATCTTCTTCGTAGACATCGTGATCAGGCGTGCTGCTGATCAGCAGTAGACGAGTCTGAGGTCCAGTTGGCGGATCCTCTACTTGCCCCCAGATCCGACGCTGATGCCACCGCCGCTCGCCGGCGTATAGCACCCACGCCCACGGGCGGACGTCCGCCGGCGGGGCGACCATAGCCGATGGCGGCAGGAGGCTGTCGGCCCCGTAGTCGCCAAGAGCACACGTTCCTCAGGCAAGAGTATCCCAAGACCACTGCTGCCTGCCCCAAAGCGATCAGCGCGTGGAGCCACAGGGCCACAAACTCCCCCAGCCAGCCGCCCGACCCCGAAGAGCTCTCGGTCGATCCTGACGCTGGATCCTCACTCGGAGCAGCGGCGCCAGAAGGCCCAGGAACTTCAGCGCTCTCCGCCACAGGCGGCGGCACAGGAGGTGTCGAGCTCTGACCTCCGCCGGCGGTCCCGCCGGCCTGCAAGGGACTCAAGCCCGTCGGACACTGCAAATGCGGGCAGCTGGGACAGTGTAGAGTCGGGCACGACGGGCAGCCAGGGCACGCAGGACAAGGCTGCGTCCGCCACCAGTATGCTGTGAAGAGCTGAGTGACAGCGCCCACAAGCCAGAATCCGTTGCGGAGTCCAGGCATCTGGACGCCAGGGAAGCTTGAGCATTGATGCAACAACGGTCGCAACGGCGCCCTCTCATCCTGACTCGCAGAGAACACCAGGCACGCCAGAGCAATATGTGGATGTTCGTAAGATGCCGATCTTAACTACTATCGCACAAGACGGCCCCAGATGCCCCGAAGATCCCCCCGAGACGGCTCGCAACGCCCCAAATAAAGGCCCCAGAGGCCAAGACAAAGATTTCCAATGTCCTTCGGCGCATCCCGCCGGCCACCAGGGCGGACATGGGCGGGGAGAGAGGGAGTATTTTGTTCACCATGTAGCCTCAAGGTGTCTCCAAGACAACCAAAGGGGACCTCAAGAGGGTCCGAGAGGGGCTCAAGACGGCTCAAGAGGCCGCCACGACGCCCAAAGAGGGCTCCAAGAGGCCCTCCAGGAGGCACCCGAAGAGGTCAACATCATTTTTGTTGTTGTTGTTGTTGTGTGTTCCCATGGGTATGGAACAGATGTTCGTGTTCTTGCCTGTTCGGGCTGCTGCCGTCCTAAGACAGGCCGAGGGCCCCAAGACGCCAAGCGAACCCCCACCAGGCCCCAACGGGACTCAAAGACGGCCCAAGAGACATCCAAGATGGCCCCTAAGCGTTTCAAGAGGCTCCCAAGACGGCCCAGAGAAGGCTCCGAAACGGGCTCCAAAGGCCTCAGACGGGCCAATAGAACCCCAAGACGGCCGAAGAGGCCGCCAAGACGCCCCAAACGGGCTCCAAGAGGCCCTCCAGGAAGCTCCCGACGAGGTCAATTCGTGTGTTTCCGCAGGTATTGAACAGGTGTTCGCGATCTCGCCTGTTCGGGCTTCTGACACCCTACAAGGGGCCAACAAGGGCCCCCAGACGGCCCCCCAAGCGGCCCCAACAGGGCTCCAAGACGGCCCAAGAGATATCCAAGGCTGCCCCAAAAGCACCCCAAGAGGACTGCAAGACGGCCCAGAGAGGCCGCCAAGACGGCCCGCGAAGGCGTCAGACGAGCCAAGAGAGCCTCGAGATGGCCCGCGAGTGCCCCCCCAATACGCTCCTGGAGGCCCCATGAGACGCTCCCGAAAGGCCCCAGGAGGTCCCCAAGACGCCCCCACGATGCTCCCAGGAAGCCCCCTGGAGGCGCCGAGAAGACCCGAAGATGCATCCTCCTCCAGTTCCTGCTCCTCGTCCGCCCTATCCGCCCTCTCCTCCTCCCCATCCTCCTTCTTTCTCTTTCTCCCCCAAGTGTTCCCCAAAAAGGGTTTCACATCTACTGGGTGAACACTATAATCCAACAGCCTGGCCAGACTTTGGCCCAACGCTTGGTCGCACAAGCGCTTCCGGGCAGGGGTCGGAGCTGGACCGCAGCAGGCCATAAGACATGAGCCAAGAGCTTCGACAACAAAACAGACCACACGCGGAGCCAGAGTCGGGGGCCTCCTGCTGGTGATGCGGCCCGAGGCACCTCCGCTCTCTGGCTCCGGGGGGAAATCGTGGAAACCCCCTCGCCGGATGGAGGCGGCCCGCTGGTTCAATCATCCTGCCCCTCATCCCTCCGAATAGCCTCATCCCCCTCACTCCTCCTCCTCCTCCTCCGACTCCCCCTTCTCCTCCTCCTCCTCCTTCTCCTCCTCCTCCTCCTCCTCCTCCTCTTCTTCCACCTCCAGTCCTTTTCCTCACAAATAACTCCTCCCTGTCGCACCCCGAGGCCAGTCGGACAAGCGAGGGCAACACCCTCCCCCACATGCCCCCCGCTTCCTCCAGGTGGCGATCTCCGAACCCTACCCCCACCAACCTGAATCGACGGGAGGCGGGGGGTAGGGTTCGGATTTCGCCACGCGTTCGGCGAATTCCCGAACCCTACCCATGCCACCCATCGAGTTGCCTGAATCGTTGATCGGCGTGGGTAGGGATCCGATTTCGCCGCCGATGCCTCCTCCTCCAGAACGCCCCCCAAGAAAGCACGGCGAAGGGATCACGGCAATCAACTGCACGCAAAGGCGACCCCGCGCAAGACTGACCTTCGGTGCGCGACGTCTGGTGGGTGCTGGGAAGCAAGGCCCGAGCCCAAGAGCTGCTGCTATCGCACCGCGTTCGGCCATGTGGGGACTGTGCCCGCAACAGAGATCACTCCCGCGAAAGGTCGCTCATACTTGGGAGATTTCGGAAGCCCTGAGCCCGCAGACGCTTTCATCTCTTGGGGACGCACGTTCCACTTCCGCCACCATCCGCCGCCCTTCCGCCGGCTTCCGCCGCACATGCGCCGCCTTCCGCCGCGGAAGAAATGACACTCCTTCTATCCTCTATCCTCGCAGGCGAGGCCCCTTTTTGGAACGCCCCGCTTGGAGCCGAGGCAACGGAGAGCCGCGGCCCGTCCTCCGCCGACGCCCGCGCCTCCGTCCGCAGCTCGAAGCACATCGACCAGACGGCCGCGGTGGCCTCTCAGAGACCGTTTTTTTGAATCGGCGATAACCCGGGTTATCCCAGGGGGGGGAGGAGGGGGCCGGCCGATAACCTCACCTCCGCGCTGTGGACAGCCCTGCATACGCCCGCGCCCCCCCCCCACCCCAGACCTGCACAACCGGCAAGGTTAGGTTATCCTTGGGGGCGTGGGGAGGGGGCAAGCCCGATAGCCTGGGTTATCGCCGGACCCTCAACAAAAACAGTCTCAAAGAGGAGAACAATCTTAGGGATGTCAACGTAAAACCAAAAGCGGAAGGAATCCTTAAGATCCATATCAAGGCAAGATGATGGCAAACATAGGGTTAGGGATATGCTTCAGGCTGGTTACCTCCTCCCAGCTGAGCCCGTCGCGCTCGAAGAGCCGCCAGCGTAGCAACAGTCCCAGCTCGCTCCTGGGGGGGGGGAGGGGGGGGGCAAAACAGGTACCACTACCGCTGCTCCCTGGATCTCTCCTGGGGTGCGCTCTGCCCAGGATTTCGAGGCGAATCCAGCCGTGGCACCGAGGGCCGCCCAGGAGGTCCAGAAAGGCCAAAACAAGGAGAAACGTAGCGCTGTACCGCTACTTTTGTGTTCCTCCGCCGAGCTCCGGCCCAACCCTCTGTCTGGATCGACCCCGAGGTCCGCGCTCAGGGCCCGGTACTCCTCCGTCCAGGCCTAGGAGGGCGCCGAGCATATATATAGAGCATATACTTAGGTCGGGCGTGTCCCCCTAACAAGGGGATTTTGGACGAAAAATGAAGTAGTCACAATATGCACCAGCAGAAGCTCCAAAAATAATCAAAACATCATCCCCAAACTATTTTTTGGCTGTTTTTGTTGACAGTTCCCCCCGTGCAGGGGCACGCTCGACTTGAGCCTGGGGGGGCGCCGAGCATCTGCGCGTGCAGCGGCCCTGGCTGGGCCGAGGCCGGGCTCAATGGCGGTGTCTGCGCCCTGCTGGCGTGGGGTCGGGCCGGTCCTCCCACAGGCGGATCTCGGACGACAAGTGACCCGGGAGCCCACGGAAGTGCCGACGGTGTCGCAGATCGCGGCCCGACGGCGCGACTCAAGAGGAGAGGGGAAAACAGGAAACAGGAGAGAAGGAGGAGAGAAGGAGGAGAGAAGGAGGAGAGAAGGAGGAGAGGAGGAGGAGGAGGAGGAGGAGGAGGAGGAGGAGGAGGAGGAGGAGGAGGAGGTGGAGACCACACTGCTCGATTCAAAACGAGAACCCAACACAGGAGGGTTGGGAAGAAAGAGTACCCTCCAAATGCCCCCAAATTATCAAAAAAATAGAACAATCGTCCCCAGACTATTTTTGCTTTGTGTTTTGACTATCTTTGAAGGCTCCTCCTGTAGAGGGACAGGCCCGACTTAATGCTGGCTTGAGGTCCATTCCTGGTGCATGTTTTCGGGTCGTGCGCGATTATGTTCGCAAGAGGGCCCGAGATGCTCCTCGACGGTCCTCGCCGAGAAAAAATACACGTCCGAGCGATGCCGGGACATGTGCACCGAACCTGGGCCCAGGATCGGCACAGTCAACACGTACAAGAAGGACGCACGCGAAGGATGCAAGGGCCTTGGAAGACCATGCCGACACTTTGCGAGCGGGGCGCGGCCAGCGAGAACGGCCAAGGATGCGTCGAGTGGGAAATATTCAAGGATAGCTCATCATTCCTATGCGGGTTGACGGTATGCGGTAGGTTCGTGCGGTGCCGGCGCGCGCGAAAAATTGTAACACCGCGTCGATCGTTCAACCTTACATCGAATGCGGCCCCGATCGTTCAAAGTTGCACTCCGCCGGTCCAATGGCATCACCGTGTCCCTCGGTGCGTCCGCGTCGCAGAATCTGACCTGGAACGCCCTCGCCGGTGTCGCCAACGCGCCAACGCCGCACGAGCCTACCGCAAATGTGTGGTCGGGTTGTGCCCTCCGAGTGCCGCGTCGTCCCCCGAGAAGCCGCCCAGGGCGGCGACGCGGCGCACCCGCTCGGGCCCGAGGCGGTCCGCGAAGGGCCCGCGCAGCGCGGCGAAGAGCTGGTCCACGGCGGCATCAGCACGGCCCGCCTGCGCCTCTGAGGGGCAAAGTGCGGGGGAGGTTCGAG